CGTGCTCAACTCCAACAATACTTAGTTCAATTACACAATCACTGACTGCAGTTCAATTACTCATTACCTCTCCGTCGCTTCGTGGCCGGTCTTATATATACAAGACTACACTATATCTAGAAAGATCACGAGATTTAAGGAAAAGACGTGAAAGTTCGAGAATGACGTGGCGTGATACTAGTCACATGACCTCGATGTCGTAACAATACAATACTGGATCTACTCATTAGTGTTTCTGTAGATGTGATTGGAACAATAGATAAATTAAAGAATATACAATACTGGATCTACTCACGAGTGTTTCTGTAATTGGACCAGTAGATAAATTAAAGAATATACAATACTGGATCTACTTATGAGTGTTTCTTTAGATGTGATTGGACCAGTAGATAAATTAAAGAATATACAATACTGGATCTACTTATGAGTGTTTCTGTAGATGTGATTGGACCAGTAGATAAATTGAAGAATATACAATACTGGATCTACTCATGAGTGTTTCTGTAGATGAGATTGGACCAGTAGATAAATTAAATAATATACAATAATGGATCTACTCATGGATATTTCTCTTCATGTTACTCGTCGAACAAATAAACAGAAAAATTACGTCACTGGATCTACTCATTGTTATTTCGATAGTTGTGATTCGTTCAACCTATAAACAAAAGACATAGCTCTAGATATACTCATCTATATTTCTGTTCCTGTGATTGATCCAGAAATAAACAAATGAAGATACACTATCGGATCTACTTATCCATTTTTTTGTAGGTGTGATTGGGCAAATAGATGAATGAAAGAAGTTACAATTCTGGATCTACTCATCGCTTTTTTTTAGATGAATTGGACCAATAGATAAACAAAAAAGATACACTATTGGATCTACTTTCCGATATTTTGGTAGATTTGACTGGTCCTACAGATGGACAAAAGAAGAAACACTATTGGATCTACTCATAACTCTTTTATTAAATGTGATTGGGCCAAATGATAAACAAAGGAAGTTACACCATTGAATATACTTATCCATATTTCAGAATATGCGATTGGTACGGCACGTAAAAAACACACAACTGAATCTACTCAACAATACTTCGGTACATGTTACTGGTTCAACAGGCAAACAAACGAAGATTTAAAAGTAGATCTATTTATCGATATTTCGGTAAATGTGATTAGTTCAACAGACGAACAAAAGAAGATACACTGCTTGATATACCTACTGATATTTCGGTAGTTGTGATTCATATAACAGATAAACAAGAGAAGAAAGAGTAATAAATCTTCTCATCGATAGTTCGGTAGATTTGACTAATCCAACAGATAAACAAAAGAAAATACCCTACCTGGATCTACTCATAACTTTTTGGGACATGTTATTGGGCCAATAGATAAACAAAATAATATAAATTACTGGATATAATCATCGATATTTCAGTAGATACGACTTGTACATCAGTTCAACAACACAATATACACTACTGTTTCTACTCATAACTTTTTGGAAGATGTGACTGCTCCATTAGATAAACATAGGGAGATTACATAGCTAGATATACTCATCGATATTTCGGTAGATACGACTTGTACATCAGTTCAACAACACAAGATACACTACTGTTTCTACTCATAACTTTTTGGAAGATGTGACTGCTCCATTAGATAAACATAGGGAGATTACATAGCTAGATATACTCATCGATATTTCAGTAAGTGTGGTTGGTTCAAAAGATAAACAAGGAAAGATGTACTATTGAATCTACTCAATGATATTTCGGTATATGCGATTGGTCCAACAGATCAACAAAAGAAGGTAAACTACTTGATTTACCCACCAATATTTCGGTAATTGTGAATCGTGTAACAGATAAACAGAAGAAGACATATCACTGGACGTACTCATTGATATTTCGGTAGATGTGACTGATCCAACAGATAAACAAGAGAATATACACTACTGGACCTACTCATAGGTATTTCGGTAGATGTGACTGATCCAACAGATAAACAAGAGAAGATACACTACTGGACCTACTCATAGGTATTTCGGTAGATGTGACTGATCCAACAGATAAACAAGAGAAGATACACTACTGGACCTACTCATAGGTACTTCGATGGATGTGACTGATCCAACAGATAAACAAAAAAGATACATTATTGGATGTACTCACCGATCTTTTGGTAGGTGTGATTGTTCCATTGTGATCGATGTTGTTGCTAAATAACAAGATTAAGAAAAAAGCTGAAATAAGTTTAAGTCTGAAACTGTATATAGATATTATGCTATACTGATTTTGTAACGTAATGTACATCAACAGCAATAACCTCATAGGAAACATATTCAGAAACATTTGCGAAAAAGAAACTTAACGATTTCAGTTATGTGTGATTAAAGTTTACTAATGTGAAGCTCGAGATTGAAGGGTGGCTTCACCTCTTCTGCAGACCTTTGTTTTACCACTTGAAAATTTGAAACTTTTATCATGTTTTCAGCCAGAGAATGAACATAATCTTTATAAGCTGGTATTTGAATTGATCATCATCCCAGTACTAATCCTCTGTTTCTATTTGACATTTACCTTATTATTCATTCCTATCACAAACTAAAAATGATACAACAAACACTCCCTGTCTTACTCCTTTACCATTTTTGAACTCTCTCCACACACTTCCACCCATTTTTATGTTCATATTACTATCGATTCAAAGACATTTGAAAATAATTCCAAAGCTCATTATAATATTTTGCAGGTTATTTTTACGGCAGATATCGAATATATACTTAATTAATGTCAATAAAGTAATTGTGTTTTTCTTTCTCATATCCTCACTATTCCCAAGATGGTTAAAACAAAATTGTTACTCTCCAATTTTTTCCACAATTAACTGTCATGGTCCAAAACCATACTGGTGCTCTATAATTATCCCAACATTAACTGTTCTGGCCTAAAATCCAATTAATCCACTATTAACTGTCGCGATATAAAAACACACTGTTACTATCTAATTATCAAACAATTAACCATCCTGGTGCTCTTCCATTATCACAAGACTAACTGCCCTTGTCTAAAACCACACTGGTATTCTACAACTAACCGTTCTGGTCCAAAACCACACAGGTACTCTCCAATTATTCCACCATTAACCGTTTAGGTCTAAAAACACACTGGCACTCTCTAGTTATCCCAACATTAGCCATCCTAGTTCAAAACCACACTGATACTATACAATTATCCCACCATTAACGATCCTGGTCTAAAACTTAACTGGAGCTCTCCAAGTATCCCACAATTAACTCTCCCGGTATAAAACCATACTGGTACTCTCCCATCATCCCACCATTAACATTCTGGTCTAAAACCACACTAGTGCTCTCCAATTATCCCACCATAAACTGTCCTGGTCTAAAACCACACTGGTTCTCTTCAATCATGCCACCTCTAACTGTCCTGGTCTAAAACAACATTGTTACTCTCCAATTATACTAGTATTATCCTCCTTGTCTAAACACCACTCTGGTACTCTCCAATTATTTTACCATTAACCATTCTGTTTTAAAACCACACTGGTACTCACGAATTATTCCACTGCTAACAGTCCTGGTCTAAAACTAAACTGATGCTCTCCATTTATCCCATCATTAATCATCCTAAAACCAAACTGGTACTCTCCAATTATCCCACCATTAATAACCCTGGTCTAAAAGTGCACTGTTACTCTCCAATTATCCCACCATTAGCCGCTCAGGTTTAAAACCCCACTAGTACTCTCCAACTATCCCAACCTTAACCATCTTGGTCTAAATCCACACTGGTATTCTCCAATTATTCCACCATTAACTGTTCTTTTCTAAAACCACAATTCTACCCTACAACTATCTCAACATTAACCATCCTAGTATAAAACCCCACTGTTACCTTCTGATCTTCATTCCATTAACTATCCTGGTCTAAAACCACAGTCCAATTATCCCACCATGAACTGCCCTGGTTTAAAACCACACTGGTACATTCCAATTATTCCATCATTAACTGTTCTGGTCAAAAGCCACAGTGTTGCTTTTTAACTATCCCACCATTAATCGTCCTGGTCTAAATTCATACTGGTGTTCTTCAATTATCCCTCCACTAACATTCCTGGTATAAACAACACTTATACTCTCCAGCAACATTAATCGTCCTTGTCTAATACTACATTGGTACTCTCCAATTATCTCAAAATGAACCATAGTGGTACTAGTTCTTTCCAATTTTCACATCAGTTACTGTTCTGGTCTAAAAACCACACTGGAACTCTCCAAGTACCCCAGTATTTGCCGTCCTGGTCTAAAATCACACAGCTGCTCTCCAATTATCCTATCATTAACCGTCCTCGTCTGAAACCATGCTGGTATGTTTTACTATCCCACCATTATCTGTCTTAGTCTAAAACCACACTAGTGTTCTCTAGTTATCCCATCAATTATTCCACTTTTGTCCGCAGTAGCCTATAGCTACTCTTGTACTCTCTAGTTATTTCACTGCCCTATATACAGTGTTTCTTCAACTTATGTACGTTTTCTGAACTCGGCCATTCATACTCTTTGTCCAGTTCTTTAGGTTATATTTAGTTATTGCCAAATGACTCCCAAAGTTATTGTGACATAAAAACTTGATAACTTATTAAAGATCAAACAATGATTAGTTTCTTTATTTGACTCTTTTTAAACAAACCTTTACAACAAGTTGGCGAAATTCTTCTAGGAATAAAAACAGAATGTTTTTTTTTATATTATTTACGAATTTATTATAAATACGTTCTGATTACCCCAAAAGTTTATTTGAAATAGATTATACCCAGCCATTTAATTATAGCACTCAACAATATACAAATATTACCTTCAATAACACTTAAATTCTAAAGAAATTCTTCTTCAACATTTGTAACAATAGTTATATTATTCCATAGCATGAAATAACTGATTTTTCTTGGTAACATAACCTCACAATTAAAAGAAATAAACCCAAAGTCCATTTCAATACAATAGCAGTCGAAATACTTTATAACAAATCGAAGTATCAGTACACTGCTAACTTTCTATCTTGATGTTTGGCGGCCGAATTGCGTTTTCTGGTGCTGTATTAGTTAACGTTCAAAACGCATGAGGAACGTGCTATTAATAGTGTTGTAGCTGTATTTCTGTGAGAAATTCACTAAAAACACTTGTCGTCAACCCTGGCTAAATGTTTCTCTCAAAGCAAATAATTGAAAGCAACTATAAGAAATTAAAAATAGGTAACTTTCTCACTGCAATACAAGGTGTATTTATCTTTGAAGATTGTAATACAAAATCTATTTAATATTTCCAGATTATAGTCAAATATTTACTTATCTATCAATACTGTAGTACAAGGTTTACCTATCTTTCAAAATTCTAGTGCAAGGTTTACTTATTTATCCAGATTATTGGGCAACATTTACTTATGTATCAAAATTGTAGTGCCAGGTTTATTTACCTATCAAGATTGTAGTGGAAGACCTACAAT